TACATTTTGAAACCTGTTAAAAAGTGGGTTGAATTTTGGCTAAATCTTAATATATATAAATCCTAGCTGCTTCTAAAGTTCAATAGCATAATCTATTCATTGGGAAAAAAAAGTATGCGTTTTACAATAATGCTTTATCAATTGAAAAATTTACTTGATTGATTTGTTCTCTAAGCTCAGCTCGTTCTTTTGTATGCATCATACAACTTCAATGGAGTGCATTATGCAGTTGATGAAGCAAAACAATCGACATCATGTTCTGACTCTTATAATGATCTTGCAATAATAATTAATCATTCATCCTCTATCATAACCGGAACGGTGTTGACAACTCACCATGTGAATGATATAATATGGACGAAATTACCTTCAAAATTACAGATTAGAACAACAATGTAGTTATACTTTGTTATATTCACAGTCAATATATTTTTTTCTTGAAAAATATTGACGCAAATTTTTGTTGCCCAATTCTCAAGTCATGCTTTAGGTGGAGGACATTGATTGATGCTTTTTCAGTGAACAGAATGGCAATGGCAAGACACAAAATCATGGCAACAACTAACAATAGAAAACGAAAAGAAACGCAAAAATAAATACAAAAAAATATATAAGAATTTAAAACGCGTAAAAGATTGTGTCACATGAAAATATTAATATACTTTCATGCAATATTTTCATTATTTCTTTTTGTTATTACAAGTCTTCAACATTAATAGATAACATTTTTTTGTTCGATTGATATTCTCAAAATTTGTTTGTAAGTAGTCATATACATCGATGATTTTGTTTAACAACACCTTGACTTCTTTCTTCAAATTGAATACAAAATGTTCTTGCATGAAAATTTTGAAAACAACCAATTTAAAACTTTCTCATTCTCATTTTTAAAAGCTTATTTTTGAAATGCAATAGAATTGACTGAAATTCATGTTATTTCGTATTTGTTACTTATATCAACCGAAAGAAATTGAAATTTTGACAGTGACTCTTTTGCTTATAATGAGAAGCGGATAACATTCAATCTTTCAATTATGAAAAAGTATACATACGATATTAAATAATAAATCTAAGAAATATTAAAATTTTCTTATTCTAATAGGAATGGAGAAACATTGTTTATGCTACTAGTACAAAATGACGATAGAAAATTTCAAAATATTTCTTTATAATATCTATCAGAAAACAAACGATTCACTACTTCATTATATAAATTATAATGCACATACTTACTTTTATTTCTGTAGGTAGTTTTGATGAGAAAATCAAATTGAAATAATGATGAATTTATAAACATTCATCCAAATTATTTTAGATCATGTGTTTATTGTATATCATCACAAACATAAGATGAGTCATGCAGATTTTAGATTATTTTATTTACGATGTTAGATTTTATTTCAGATATTTTATAATGATGAAATTGACACATAAAAAACAAGGTAGCCTGAAAGAAGGACAGATGCACATAGAAAGAAAATATAACATATGATTAATTTATTACATTAGAAAACTACATTAGTGAAATCATTTCTTGAGTTCAATGTCATCAAATGATAACAATTTTCATATTTTTATTATACAGCATTATATTGTTACTCATTTCGAGTGAATTCAATTTTCTTTCATTGTATTCATTAAAAAAAGAAACATAAATCATTTTTTCCTTACAATGTACAACATGACAAAATCAAATGAAGCCGAATATTAATTTTCAAGAATAAATATTTTGATTGAGATGTGAAGATTAGCAAACATGATTATTATCATTCTTGTTGGTATTTACCTTGTCTTAAAATATTTATTCGTTTCTAAAATGTTCTTTTTACGTTAAGACTTCACTGATAAATGCAGGGTTGATTTAATCGAATGAAGAATGGATTGAAGTTTTTTTCTTTGATTGATGACTTCATCTTTTTTATCTACAAATCTTATCTGAGCATTACATCATAAATATCGATTTTTGTTGATGTTATTATGAGTAGTGAATATAGAATCATAAAAATCAAGGCAAGACGAAGGGTTAATTTCTTTCAAATAGATTTGCTTTATAGGGTTGTTAAAATATTTAACAGACCCTATGTCTACTTATATTTTTTAGTAACGACGTAATTTGATGTTTGTTGTCAATATTTTCAAGTGGTATGTTGCATATTATTCATCACATGTTAACTGAGTTTGCTATCTCATCATCGACATTCGTCACAATATAAATAAAATTAAAATTTTCGAACATTTAGAGTCACAAGTTGAGATAAGATATGAAGCAAAAAATAAATAAGAAAAAATAATAACTCTGAATAGCATTCGATATAGTTGGTAACATTTGGTGTGAATCAAAAGTTTTATTTATGAATAAACGAAAAAAGAAATATTTTTACTCAAGGGAAGAATGTTGGAAGAAAAAAAAAATGTATCCAGGGCATCTGTTTTGTAGAAAAATATTTTTACGTCTTTAATGGTTGGAGAATTCCAACATTTTCTATTATTTTAACAAACTCATTAATCGAGAACGTATATGCCTGAACTAATTGTCAGTAATTGCTAGGTAGTTTACTTTTAGATTCTTAATTGAAAGTTCGTCTTGTGTAGTGTTTGTTGGAGACTCTCATTAGAGAAAACAAACAGAGAGGAATATAATTCATTTGTTGTGTTTTTTAACTATACTTCAGAACACACTAGGAAGAACTGAATAATTTTTTGCTGTATAATAAAATGTTTGGAGGTGTTAACTAATTGAATATTTTTCTAATGGTTATTAAAGAAACGAAGAATGTCCTTCAAATGATTCACCCGATAAATTTTAATGAATAAAAACAGACAAATAGTTTTTTGCTTCTAATGAAATATTAATGAAACTTCGTATAGCAATTTATGCTAAAATTTAATTAAGCATTATTGAATATACACTGTTTGATATGGATGAAAAATGATGCAGCGTGTAAATGTAAATAGCGTCATTAAATATTTATACAAAACTTAATAACACATTAAACCTTGGAAGAAATACGCGATAAATAACGCAAATAAAAATATTGATGACAATCGCTTTTGTGTTAAAGAAAGGAGAGTGAATAATAGGTATCTCCTTGATTTTGTTTCTACTCAAACATTTGTATCAATCTTAATAAAAAGAAAAAGAAATCATCGTTTTGATACAACGTAAATTTGATGAAATATCCAACTACAATATAAAAATAAAAGTACAACTGCCATTGATTCATAGTTATGACTTCAAAAGTAAATATCTTATTGTTGTAGCTATATTTTTTTGTTTTGCATAGACTAAAATCTCAACTTTCTATTCTTAATATTGTATTTTTCGTAGAGCATAGGAAATGAAAAAAAAATAGTTTTGTCAACCTAAGAAGAAAAAGATTTTTTATCAAAGAAACATCTATTAGTAATTGATGATTGTTCAACTCAATTTTATTGTAAGCAAAAAGAAAATTTGAAACGTATAACGTATGACGAATCTTTAATTAACATATACGAACGAATCATGTATTTAGAAATTGAATGAAACAATAGTTTCATCGATCGATTCATGTTATAGTAGGTTAGAATGACTTTTAAAAAGTTTTTTTGTGAAAGATTTAGACGAACATCAATATTTTTGCATGCGCATAAGTTTTTTTCTTTTTACGTTTGATTATTTTCGCTTAGATTATTAAATAAATATTTGTTTTCGAATATTCAATCGTTTGGAATTGTCCAACATGATCAATATGACACTCATCAAAAAGTTTTCAAATATATAATTTTTGTTGTGATTTTTACATGAAAAAATCATCGAACTCTGAACTTAGAATTTCCAAGCACAAAAAAGTTAAATTTTTTTTTCTATTGACGCAAGATTTATGTAACGTAGCATTTTTGTTTTTTCTCCGTCTTACTGTGTAACTTGGTAAGTTACATCGCGGGCCCTCCAAACACTCTTATCGTTCTCTTGATAGACGTTGCTACGCAAATATGCATTTTTTTTCTGTTCTGTTCTGTTGCGCACTTATTAATGGAATTTTTTTGCTTGGTTTTTTCCCACTGAAGTACATTATCATAGAACGGGCTTGTTTTTTCTTTCTATTGTTTGTAACTTTAACTTGGTATTTTCCAACAAGACAACATATAACTGGTAAAAACCGGTTATTTTTTATTCAGAGGGCCCCTTTTTCTTGTCACCGTAAGTGAGGTTTTTATCAGTTGTATTAGGAAGAAACCAAACTTGTTTATTGCCATATTTTGATTCATTCTATATATATAAATACAGTTGTTAGTAAGCAATCCTTTCATCATGATATGCTAACAATCAAAGTAAGTTTTCTACAATTTTTGTCGGGTTCAAGAGATGGAATTGTATGAAAGTAGAGAATCTTATGTATGCACCATTAGTGTTACTATTACTGATTGATGTCTAGTAGTTACTGGAATTTATGAGCATTAAGGAAGGTCATATGAAACTGTTTAATTTAGGAAGTTTTGTCAAATGAAGTCGAACTCATAAGATTATACAAGGATACACATTCATCTAAAATTTGTGCACACAACATTATTTTCTATTTTGCTTTTGTTTTGATATTCATTGATAGTCGAATGAACAAGACAGTAATGCTGAAAGAAGGTTTCCTTTTTTGAATTTTTTCTTTCGCTCGTTCCACTATCAATAAATATTAAAATGAGAACAAAAACAGAAAAAAAAAGAAAATAATATGTTGTATACAATTTTTATATGGATGTAAGGTTGGCGTGATTCAAAAATCGAGTAAAATTTTTTCTCGAATTTTTTACACATGGTTAGATAGAGCTCGTCGAGCTCTACAAAAGCGTGTATTTCAAAAAAAATTTTAAGTCTCTTGCTTGAAGAAAATTTGAAAAAGAATATTTAAAAAATTGAAAAAAAATCGTTTTTTTCAATAGAAAAAAAATACTACCTTTTGAGATAAATTAAGTTTTTTCTCGCGATTTTCATTATGAAAATATTTTGAAAATATGTTCATTCGATGTAGCGTGAAAAGTTGCATCTAATGGTATAAACTAGTTTATATCATTAGATGCAACTTTTCACGCTGCATCGAATGAACATATTTTCAAAATATTTTCATAATGAAAATCGCGAGAAAAAAACTTAATTTATCTCAAAAGGTGGTATTTTTTTTCTATTAAAAAAAACGATTTTTTTTCAATTTTTTAAATATTCTTTTTCAAATTTTCTTCAAGCAAGAGACTTAAAATTTTTTTGAAATACACGGTTTTGTAGAGTTCGACGAGCTCTATCTAACTATGTGTAAAAAATTCGAGAAAAAATTTTACTCGATTTTTGAATTACGCCGACCTTAACTATATCATTGTATACTTTAACAAAACGTCATGAATATTAAAATAGATAAAAATGCAATAAGAAAATAAATAAATAAACATTTGGAAAAACAATAGTTACTGCAATGTTTTAAAATTGATCTCTTTAATATAATGAGAGAATAAATCAACACAGTGAGACAACTATTTTGGATAGGCATCATCTTGAAGGATAAGTAAGGAAATCGATAAGAGAAAGAGTTTGCTCATGCATCATCACCGTTTTTTAAAATGTCAAAGGAATCGCAGCTGACATTTTAAAATATTTGAAAACGAACCAAACTTAAGATAGATTTGAAAAGGTGAAGACGAACATCCACCCATCTGTGCCTTGCACAAACAATGAGAATATCTCAATCAATTTATTCATTATATTTATGTGAACTTTATGTATTCTAGAGTCTGGTTCCTGAATTATTAATACCAATAATGACTGAATATATGATTAACCTGTCAAATATAGTGAAAAATAAATTGGAACCGAATGAGTATTGTTGCTCAAAGAATTCCAATAAGAATATAATACAACAGTCATCAAAATGTGACAGGATCCTCACGAATATTATTGGTTTATGTTCAGAACTAAGCATTAAATGCGGTGTTCACTCAGATCATCTTATGAAAGCTTCCGGATTCAAATACATAGGCAAAGGAGACACAGCTCGTTGTGATGATTGTGGTCTTGAAGTATCTCAGTGGACACCTGATATGTATCCACTTACTGTTCATTCAACTCAAAAACCTGATTGCCCATTTATTCGTTCTTTAAAATCATCAAAGTCATTTATACACTCTTCATGTTCTTCTTCTTTCTCCAGTCCTGTTTACACTTGTTCCTCGCCATCAACAGCTACTGTTAGAAGTGCATCGATATCAAACGAGCAGGAAAATCCATCAAAACGTCAGAAGATTGAGACAAGTCATGCAAACTTTTATTCAAATAATCTCTTCGAAACTGATAAACTTCAACAAATACGAAAGCGAACTTTTTCACATTGGCCACATCGTACTATCCCATCTCAAGCACAAATGATCGAAGCAGGATTCTTCAATTGCAACGTCGGTGATCGAGTAATATGCATTTATTGTAATCTCATCTGCCAGCAATGGACACCACATACTGATGACCCATGCGAAGTTCATAAAACTCTTTCTCCAAATTGTATGTATGTTAAAACCAAATTAATACGACCAGAAGCAAGATCAATATTAATCGTTAATGAAACTACAGTAGGAGCTGCTTCAGGAAGTCATTCATCAACTTCAAACAATAATGATCTATTCCGTTGCAATGAATTTGTTCCAACAGCTGCATGCCATAATGCATATACAGAATTACCAAGACGAACTGCATCATTTGCAACATGGCCCAATGAAAATTTGCCTTCTGTCGAAGATCTTGTCCGAGCCGGATTCTTTTATACGGGCACTAAAAGTATTGTAACTTGTTTTTATTGTAATGGATCATTACAGAATTGGGGACCAAATGACAATCCAATGATAGAACATGCTCGGTGGTTTCCACATTGTGCTTATGCCAAACAATTATGTGGCGTTGATCTTTATCGAAAAATTCAAGAATCTAAACGAGCCCAGCAAGGTTTGTTTGATAATTGAAATTTGAATAAAAATATAATAATAAGAAAATTTCTTACATAGAACGTGCCAGAGGGAATGAATCAAAAGAGAAAGTAAGCACCATTGGTATGACTAGTAGTAATGCAACTTCAAACAGTCGACAATTATTAATACCTGATGAAAGTACTTTATCACGTCTTGTTGCTGCTCGACTTGATCTACCAATTTCACAAAGTTTATTAGCTAAAAATTTTAAATTATCTATTATTAAACGTTGTTGGGAAGATCAACTTCGATTAAAACGTAAGTTATCAAAACTTCGAATATTCATTGGGTTATCTACTATATATGTTTGTTTGTTTATTTGTTTAGAAGATGATTTTGTAAGTGATTCTGATTTACATATGGCTTGTACAATTCTTCAGAAACAAATTGAGCGGATTGATGGTAAAAAAGAAAATATTATTATACCAAGTATAAAAATGAAAAAAATTCGAGAAGATGCTGAAAGAGAAAGAGCAGGTATATTGATTATTAAATTGAAATAAACTTTCATTACAATTTTTTGTCGTTCTGTTATAGAAGCTCTTGCTCGTCAACAAGCTCCTCCGATGCAAACTGTTTCTGCTCTTAGTCAATTGATGCCTACTACTTCATCCAATATTCCTGATGTAGAAATGATAACATCATCACAGTCACCAACAACTGAATCAACATCTTCAATTCCATCCTCATCACAAGAACCAACAACTGTCAATCAAGAAGAAACAAAGATAACAAAACCAATTACTTCCATTACAAATGAAAAACATCAAATAAGTGATTCATCGCCAGTCAATCCATGTGTGTTATGTTTAACAGAAGAAAAACGACTTGCATGTATACCTTGTGGCCACTTAGCAACATGTGTTCCATGTGGACACTCATTGCGATCTTGTCCAATTTGTCGTCGGGAAATTGAAGCTTTTGTTAGAATTTACATTTAAAATGCAAGAACGTTGTGGTCACTGATGATGTAATATCAGTTTCAAATTGGGCAACAGAACAAAGAACTGTATGTTGCAACAACAATGTTCTTTTGTTCTCGATTGGAAACATACGCTACGTGGCCAGAGAGATGCAGTCCGTGACCTCCTTAGCGGTCGAAGTCAACAATGGGACCCAGTTGAAGTTCTTACCGATCAGTTCTAAGTGGATGGTCAGATAGCGATATTAGCATTGCTATCAATGAAGTCAGTTGGTTGATTAATAGTAATGGCACAGTTGTTTGTCGTGATACTTGTTTCAATTTTTAGCTGCTACTCCTTTATTCTACTCAATGTTGATGTCAGATGCTGATGACAAAGAAAATATTTCGAACTCATATTGATTATTTTTTAATTATTGGATATATCTAATACAAGAGCAAAGAGAAAAAATTGGTTATTGAACAGATCACTTGTTTAATTTTCCTTTTAGTTTTAGTTTTTTTCGGAATTCTATTATTTTTTATTCACACAGCGACAGTTCTATTCTATTAGATTAGCTTAGCTATAAACAAATTATTTTAATAAATAATAAACGAACGAAAATGCTATTTAAAATGAATCATTACTTACATGTATTGATGTCAACAAGTGTAAAGGTACTATCACAACAATTAACAGCTAAGCTCTACGAAAAAAAACTTCTTTGTTTTATCAAATACTTTTTTTATTTCATGGGATAGCAGTCGAATGACAACATGCTCAGATATATGTATATTATAATGAAATGAAAGAACTAATAGTTAAATACTTCAATTCCAATATATGTTTCTTGATGTCGGTCATATGAAACTTTATTCATTCAGAGCAGATTAACTGAACTAGTATTTAGAGAATTAATAATTTTGATAATCGAAAGAAAGAGAATGACTTTTCGAAAGGAGCAATACAATTAATGATGATGGTAGTGAGAGTGCCCTGAACTTTCGATAATAACGATAGCCCATCAACTGGTTGACAAATAGTAAATGATTTATTTGTGAATTCCGAAGAGATGATCTATTAAAAGTATCCATGATTATATGACCTAGAATAAATTTTTGTCTGTTACTGGATCAAAATTTGCTAATCTAACGTGATATTCATCTTTTACTTTTAACACAATTACTTGTGATTTATTTTATGGCGTTCAAGAATTATTTCTATATAATAGCTGTCGTTGTTGTACTAAAAATAATAAAATTATAAATCGTTAGTATCAACAAAATATGATTTAACAAAATTTTGCTGAAGATTATTTACATGTTTATAATCTATTCGTTCTTTAATTGCACCATATAGTATAATAACTAATAAACTCTAAAAGTCATATGAGTTCATTCTTTTTAATTATTTGTTAACGACAGACGCCTACAAAATTGAAAAGATAACTCGACGATTATTAATAACGATGAAAATAGAGAATACAATAGTAATAAAAAACGTTTATATAAACAAACCTTATTTACTACTATTAGTCATCTCTACATCACAAATTCTGTGTGACATAGAGATGCACACGGATACAAGCACGTCGATATCTACAAGTATTTCCAGTGAAAGTAATTTTGAAAAATAATGCTTATATCATGCAAAAATCATACACTTTCATTGTTTTAATGACATTATTAGAGAAATTTTCTAGTTCAAATACGAGATTCTCGGTGCTGATGCGTCTAATTGTTTAAATAATTTTGATAAACTATATTTGATCAAAATATCAATATATTTCTTGTTATGAGAAAAACATACAATTAATACAGCAACTAAGAATTAAATAAATCTCGATCACTCAACTGCTGCTTGTCAGTAATGATTTATATAACTAGATTAAGAGTAAATAACTTTGAATTAATGTATTCATTCATCTATCTAGTTGAGTTGAATCTCAACATAAAAAATTTCTCTTCGCAAAATTATCCAATATCTCTGGATTAAGTAGTTTGAAAATATTTTATTCAATATGAGTGTATTTTAAGTACTGAAATAATATGAAAATACAATTTTGACGAAAAACTAAAAATAACAAAATCGTCAATATTCCCATGTTTTATTAACATTAGAATATTTCATGAAAAGACTCCTAAAGCGTTCGAAGTCAGAAATTTTACTGTCATATCGAAAAATACCGGTTAGATTTTTATAGTTTTAATAAAGTTAACTCACTTTTTGAATTTCAGCTTCTTTCTACAAATATCAAAAAAAAAAATAATATAAGATTAAAAAAGACATGCATTTTCTGCTGATCATAATGATATTAATGGGAAAAAATATTTGAAGATATAAGCATGAATCATTTCATGAAAGAATTAACTCATTTCAAATGAATTGAAGTTATAGAGAAAAAAGGCCTTGGATTAGACACTAGTTAAACTTCTTACAGAGAAAGCCACTGTTAGAAAAATTTAGTTTTCCAATTGTAGAAATTATTTAATTTTTAGTGCATGTAAATGTGAGAAATAGTCCTCATCCTCAAGAGTTTTTTGATATTGTGTTTGTTCATGGCGTAATTTATCGTCAAATACCGGTGCTTTTTTTCTGCATTCTTGTTTAAGATAAAGTTCAAAATAAAGATCACGTTTTAAATATTGAATTTCATATTGACGCTATTGTTCCTATTCTTGATATCCATGTTGATCTTGATCGCTTTTGTTGATTTAATCTTAAAATTTTTATTTGCTAACTATTGAAATTGTTGTTGAAGAGTTTTTAATTGTTTTCTTAATGAATGAATTTCTTCCTGAGGATGAAGGGGTTTTCTATTAATATTCTTTTTCTAATTGATACTCATCTTCAAAAATATGATTTAAAACAGTTATTTCTGTGGGAAGTATTCCAAAATAAAATATATATAGCTATTTTTCAAAACAAGTATGCGAAGAAACTAGTTAGAACCAGTAAAAATTTCAGTTTTTCGTTGATCGAGAATTTGCTAGAATAATTCTTGTTGAGTACAAAAATAGTTGTAAATTGGAGTGATCTTTAAAAAATTGATTCAAAAGAAACTTTATGAGGAAAAAGTTTGCCCATAATAAAACATTCGATCGAACGAATCAGAGATCCGTAATTTTCGATGTCACTCTCTCCTTCCGCCGTAGGATGGTACTGAAATTTTCGACGGCAGAGTGACTCGTTCTATTTCATTACAAAGTTTGATATTTGCATATGTTGATGCATATATGACTAGGAAAGAATAATTAGAAAACTGATGTTTTCAGGATTGATGAAAGTGGAGTAAAAGATTTTTCAAATCGATTATCAGTCAAGAGGGGAATATAAACACTATGAAATTTATTTTTCTTTACAAATCATAGGAAAACTCATATTTGAGATTTCGACAACTAGAATTTCTCAAGCTTATCTACACAATAAATAATCTCTATCTTATTCATATTGAACAGTACCCCATATTTATCGTATGGCTTTGTGAAATACAAATAATATTATTAATTGTCGGATAAAGTATGACAGCAATACATTTTTCACCAAGAATATCAAACAATCCTTGACTTTCATCACGTTCAAGTTCATCACCAATAAACGGACGAATACATGAGTAGACACCCAACAAAGCAGGATTACGAAGTTTACCTGCTGTGTTCATACTTATTGGGATGCCTACTGTTGTCTTGTATCCGTATTTGAAGGAATTATTATCACAAAAACAAAAAGGAAATCTTCACGGTACACAAATAAGGAGTAAAAATAGAGTCTACAAATTCAATAGTTCGTTCAATATGACAAAGACGAGCGAAACGTTATTCATCTTCTAATTAGAATATTTCATCACTTATTACCTTAGATTTAATGTAAAACGTATGCTAACGCGTTTTTATAAATGTCATAAGTGATATCTTGAGATTTATTAGTATTTAACCTAGTTTTGAACATATGAAATAATACGGCTAGTAAAAGCATATCTGTAAAAAAGAGAATAATTAATCATAAATATTTTCTTCAAAAAATAACAATGTACCTTCAAGTCTAGCATTGTGATTTTCTTCTATATCAGTTGGAAATTTTATTGCAGGAAACTAATTCGTATGCTTAGAAAACGTTAACACACCAAATAAAACAGGACGGTGATGCCATGAACTGTATATCGTCTCCTCAAGCTAAGCCGCACCCATTCACATACCAACACATACACTCTTGTATTGTTATTGCAACAGATGGCTATGAGGCAATTTAAACATATTCAACGATATTCAACGGAATTAAAGAGGTTACAGTAAGTGCATTCATTATGAAGAATTAGAAAGAAAAAAGTTATGAAATAATTACTATGACTCAATCTTAAACCATTATAGAAAATCAACGGAACTAAATAAAAATAAAATAATGTTTAGTATTGATACAATTTTTATACTCTTAAGTAACGTATTTGTTTTGTATTCTGAGAAGTTGCTTTTCTTCTTATATCAAGAAAAAATACATTGCATAAATATCTAATATTCATTGATAATTCCATGTCAATATTAAAATTTATTACTCTGTCCTAATGCTGATTTAACCAGAAGCATATTTATGTTTATTCTAACACTCAACATTGGATAGTTTACAAAGCTTGCACATAGATTAGCTAAAATCGCTATTGAAAATGAACATCATCCAAATTTCTATTCATCATTTCCGAAAAGTGCGAAAAGATCATTAGGCAATAATATTTGTGGCATGTAATCTATTGTATTTAACAATAGATTGCAGCGAAATTATATCACAATATAACTAGCTATTGTAATGCCAAGAAGGAACACATTTTACTGATATATTTGATTAGTCTTATTACAAAAATGTAAGTACAATAAAACAGCATACAAGATATGTATTTGCGTCAAGAGCCGTTCATTTAATATAATTAAACTTTCATATTCCCATAAAATAAGCTCTTCCTTCACTAAAGTTTTAGTTCATTGTATGTTAATAGGTATTATTTCAATATAAAACTCGTTTACTGTCGCTTATAAATTTCCTATTTAAACTTGTTTTGTTCAGTTATTGAGTCAAGTCTTGAAGTTTGTCCATAGATCGTATTGAATTAATTAAAGTTTTCCTTTCAAAAATTTCTATAAAATTTGACCCGATTCAGTGCTCGCGAAAGTAAATACGATTGCACTTTACTGTAAACTATGTAAAGTTTCTCTGCTACTTATTTAATCGTTCTTCGATAATAACGATTTGGCAAAAGTATTTTTAATCAATGTTCAAATAGTATAAACTGAATTCGACCAAAATTTCATTTCCAACGACGAAATCTTCATCGACTGAAAAATATCAAAGTATTATCAGGTTTTCCCCATAAAAGCAAATACACTCAGTGACATATGTTTTCTTTTTGCTTTCTTTCTTGTATACAGAAAATAATTCTTCCTATGCAAGACTTCGAAAACAAAAATAGAAATAGAAAAAAGTCACATATAAACCCATCTCTAGAGGACTTCAATCATTTCATCATATAAAAAAATAGAGCATAGAAAAATAGCCTGAAACAACTCTCCCTCCTTTCTATCAGATGCACAAACGCCTTCAAAATATAGAAACTTTTGTATTCTCAATAAGTTTTCCGCGAAGATAATCGTCAGTTCATTGAAAGTTAGTATATGGCAGTAAGAGAAATTTGATCCAAAAATAAGAAGAAGAATACTCTTCAATGGATAAACTATTTTTTGCTTGGACGTGTGTCTTCGTATCCGTCTCTGTTGGTGTTGGAGAAAGTATGAGTGTAGGTGTCGGTATGTGCAAGTTTAGATGTGAGTCTTCCCTTTTATTCAGCCCATACCCACCCCAATACTTACAGATCCCCATTCATAGCCGCATACTCCACACCCTACACCCACACCCTGACTGACTCATTGATTTTTTTTTTCTTTCTCATTATTCTTGATGCATATATAAAGCAATGATTAACATCATTTTTTTCAGCTTGTATTAAATATGGAATCGAAAATTGAATCAATGTTGGAAAAGATAATTCTTATCGATGATCACTATGAATTAATAAACGAATTAGTTAATGATAAATCAATTGAATTGAACAAAATTATGTCTTGCATTTTGAATCATATTTCGAATATACAAAATCAAATTCATATTCAACAATGGGCTGAAATTATTGCACGACAATGTTTCAAAAAAAAGTCGTTGGGCGATAGTGGTCATTATGTCGATTCAATGATTGATAATGAAGAAAATTCTTTAAAAAAAAATTTATTAAAAAAGTTCTTATGGAAATAGGTAAGAGATATTTTTTAACTGAGAAAAATACACATTGGTATTGTATTGTTTGTTTAGGTCGTCTTACAAGACAAAATAAACCTGTTGATTATGATCCCATGGTTGATGACTTGATGAGTTTATCTTCAATTGTTATGTCATGGACATGTTGATTAATTTCTTTCTGTATGTGAAAATGAAAAAGGTTTGTTTTCTTGAATAAAAGTTAAGTATAGATCAAGTAATGTTGAAAGAAAATATCAGAAGAAAATCATCTCAATTTTAATATATGGTTTTGTAAAAATGATATTCATCTTTTCTATTCGATTCAACTTCAATTATTATATAGAGAACTTAAAAAAAGAAATATTTTCTGAATCAAAAAATATTATTGACGGAAGATATCGTTGAAATTGTTTAATTTGTATATAATGAAAAGCATGAATGTAGTTTACCGCATAATATAGGATGATATCAAAATAGTAACTGCTTATTCTTAGAACAATTCTAACTTGTTTATTCATTCATATCAACTAATTGTTTTTTGTTTCTGGTCTCTATATGATACAATGAAGGAGAAAAGTTATCAACTCATTAGAAATTTATAGAAAGTTCATGACTTTCTTTAAGAATGATATAAAAAAACAAAATATACCACGAAATATAGCATAAAAACCTCTAAAATTTATAGACGATCAGCTTATCGTATAATTGTACTTAGGGTATTCCAAAAGTAGTGGCACTGACACTTTAATACCGTGTGATACACATAAAGAAACTTTCTTTCTACATAGTATGACAGAGGAAAAAAAAAAGGTCTATCTTTTATACCATTTGATCATACTTGACATGATATGATGGTAATAAATTGTCAATAAGATTTGTTTCGTTCTCGTTCGCCCGCGTAACAAGTTTCCACAGCAATTATCAATTCCTTTATGAGCGCTGTTAAAAACCAAAATATACCATAAGCTACAGCAGAAAAAGCTCTACAACTTACAGATGATTACCTTTTTATAGGCGCTCTTTTTGTTTTCAGAATGGATAAAATTTTGGCGATTAAGCTTCTATGATAAGGAAAAGATAGTTGTTTTTTTATATATAACAGATCCATTTTTCGTTATTTCATCATTTCATCGCCAAAATGCTCTCTTAGAAGAAAAACAATATACACCATAAGATGATGTGCGAAAAGCACTGCAATCTTCACTGTAAAGCTTATTATGATCTTTTTTTCAAAAAGAGAAAAATTTTGTACGATCAATACTTACAATGTCCAAAATCTGGCGGCCTCAAAAATTTGTCCATTTTGAAAACAAAAAGTACAATTATAAAAGAAATAGTCTTGTGCAAATTATAGAGCTTTTCGCGATGCATCTTACTGTATGTTATGATTGTTGAAACAACGTATTAAGAGATGAAGAATTAACTTGTCCAACCCGTTGTGATCTGGTGTAACGAATATAAGTAAGATCGAAACGAATCTTATCGACAATTTATTATCTTCATATCATGTCAAGTATGATAAAATAGCATAGAAAGATAGAGCTCTCCTTCTTCTATCAGACTATGTAAAAAGACAGTTTCTTTGATGTACATTACACAGTATTAAAGTATCCCTGCCACTACTTTTGGACTACCCTAAGTCTATATATAGTTTTCCAAGCGAACCGTATGAGTAAGAGTGAAATTTTAACATTCATCTATTTCGTACGCTATATTCATCCTTTCTCGATCGTAAATAGTAAATATTAACTTTGTTAGAGTAAATGAAAATGGTTACTTGTCCAAAAAAATTGACTATGTATATCAAATAGTTTCTAAAATGTTTGATGACTATATGTTCATATTTAATTTATAACTCATATTTTATGCAACAACTTGGATCAAAAACATATTTTTAAACAAGGAAAGTACAAGTAAAAATTGTTTGAATGTGCTAAACTTGTCGGAATAGTAAATCTTAAAGTTTGTACTTTAGAACAGTTACGACGAGTTGTATGACGTGTAAAGTTCTCTGTTACGATTTCTAAATTCTTATAGTTAATGGTAAGGTTTACAATACTTGATAAATAAGATAAGGACAAAAGTTCGCGATATTTTTCCTATCGATATAAATAGAAAAACTTCTGAGAACTTTCTTCAACAAATTCTACCACTAGATGCAACGTGAAAAGCTCTCCAATATCCATAAGACCGCTTATTTTATAGTTGCATTTTTTCTTTTCAAAATAGACAAAATTTTGAGCGACCAAATTTCGACTATATCAAAACGATATTTTCTTCGGTACATGATTGATTCCTTTTTCCGTATTTGATTTTTTTATCATCGATATCTCTTTAAAAAATATACAGTCAGATGGGGTAAATGTATAGAAAAAAATCAGTCATGTCTTTTAAAACTTCTATAACTTTTTTATTTTTCAATATTTTAGGGTGTGGGTGTGGGTGTGGGTGTGGGTGTGGGTGTGGGTGTGGGTGTGGGTGTGGGTGTGGGTGTGGGTGTGGGTGGGGGTGTGGGTGTGGGGGTGGGTGGGGGGGGGTGTGNNNCCCCCACACCCACACCCACACCCACACCCACACCCACACCCACACCCACACTCACACCCACACCCACACTCACACCCACACCCACACCCACACCCACCCGCTAACTACAATTGAACTGAAACATTAAAACCATTTTAGAATATAAAATTTGGAAATTGAAAGAACGAACAAAATGTATTAGAAAATAGATAAATCTTGAACATTGTCGTAATGAATCAATAAAAGCTTTTGAGCCAGCTTTATATTCATCAGTAGCTCCAGCGAGTACTTTGCCTAATGTTGAATTAATAATATCAATTGTTCCAATCATATTACAATGCTCTTCTTTTCTTCAACCTGTTTTTGAAAAAATCTTCGAAACAAAAGTTAATTTTAATCAAAAAATAAATAAAAATAAACAAATCAATTTTTTTACCCAACTGCATGGCATTCATTAACAAAATTTAATGCATTATATTTATCTGTTGAACGTTTTATATCTAGTAATGCAGCTAGTATTTCATCCGTTGAAAAACCACCATCAATAGCTATTAATAGAACAACAGTATGATTATTTTCATTAAGTTTCTTTTAACTTTAATTCAAGATCGAACATATTTTTATGTTTATAATATAAACGTTTAGCTTCACATAGACGAATACGATCAATAATTGATGCGTAATTTAATTTATTCTAAATAAAATAGATAAGTTTTCTTGAAATACTCATCATGTTCAATAAGATGAACTTTTATAATTTAAAAGTTCATTGTACGACGTATTTTAACAATCATTATAATATAAAATTAATTTCTTTATATTTGACATATTTTATTTCGCAAAGATTAGGATTCACAAAACAACTTTCTTATCAATATTGACTATAACAATGTATCAATTATTTACACTAATGATATACTCTTGTTCCTTGAATAATCTTTCAAGTATTCCAGCATTAGCATCAAAACAAGACAAATGAATGTATAGTATCTTCTCGTTAATATATTTTGCAATACATTGTTCAACTAAATATATATTTTTGTCTATGCATTATTTATTATATAACAAAGTATACTTAGGTTGTTTATGTATCACTTGTGTACCACAAATAAATTGCACCAAAGTAAGACCAGTACTATAACCATCGAGTGGTTTTTAGCTGCATTAACCATTTCAGAATTACTCGCCAAACTCAAAAACAGATAAGTTATAATATAAAAGAATCTATTCTGTTTTATTTGCTTGTGTATGACAAACAAATAAACTTATCACAAAGAAAATACAATGAAATAAAAATATGTAGGGTAAAAGAAAAAGACAGAAAAAAAAATAAAACATGTAGGGCAAAAAAAAAGACAGAAAAAAAATGTATCAGTCATTCAGTTTATATCTGACTGTCGTTGTTGACGAGCCGAATGAGGACGATTATTATGGTGTGGTCGTATACTTTTATAAGGTCTGCGACGAAGTGTATATGCCGATGCAGATTCTAAAAAAACATCATTTTTACAGTGATTTAAGAAAAAAGAAGAGCGAGAAGAGGTTTGGAAAACAATTTTTGAAGGATGGTCTTTGAAGAAGGAAGGATACTATTTTTGTTGAAAGAGAACATTTTAATATATTGCATGCATTGGCATGCTCGAGCATAGTGAAGCAAAGAAATCGTTAGAACCTTTAAAGGTTTATACGTAATTTATCACCAAAGACTGAAAAAAAAGTGGCATGCGACAAGAAGGTAGTTTACTCAATCAGACAGCTATTCTAAAAAAAGACAACAGTTCATTCTGAAATGCGTAATATATTGGTTTCTTTGTATGACTCCATGTTTATATGCCAATACATCAACAAAATCAAGTTGATTTAGTAATTTTGAGGTTAGGAATTGCAAAATCTGCAAAATTTTCACAGTTCATAAAACTGTTGCATCTTGAACAGTGAAGATGCATGAAAAAGACTTTTTTATTGACACTTCATGTATGTTTTTTCGTTAGAAAAACATAGATATATATATATAATAGCACATGATACTGCACTAAAACATTTTAAAGCACATTTCTGTTACTATAAAGCTATGTTCTTACATGAAGATGTTAATATTTATACTGATGTTTACGAAGGAATACAAATAATGAGCTAAGCTTAGTCTATTTTCACAGCTAAAATTTCCTAATATCGCCAGCACTCTCTCATTCTACCAAGATGATTCTGTTCTATAAGCAAAATATAAAAAGTCCGTTAGAATACACAACACGTATCCTATCATAGAGTCATTGAAATACTACCAGAATTTTAACACAAAACAGTAAAATCAATTTGAGTTAGGATTATAGTAGTCAATAGTATATTCATCGACTAGACTATTGCACGATCAGATGGGACGCATGAAGAAAGTCACTTGTATGACACGGTGTATAAATTTTGATTAGATTACATCTAGAAGTTGCTGAGTGGTAAACAAAAGTAGCAACAAGGAGGAAATAAGACGATTATCGAAAAAACGAAGTCAAAGAGGAGCATTCACATGCCAGCCAAACAATTAACTAGCTTATGAACTCAAAAAACTAACTCATTTTAGTAGTTTTGTTTCTATTTATCTTACCAGTAATTGTTGGATTTGATGCAATTGTACTTTTAATTGAATCATTTGTACGGGATGATGATGTTGCTTCATTAATATTTCCTGATTCTGTTTTAGATTGTTCTAACAATAAATTAAATTTTGTTTCTGTCTCTTGGATGTTTTTTTCTTCTTCTTCTTGATTTATTAATTTTAAATCGACATGCTTTACAAATGTAGCAACTTTTTCAATCTAAATACATGTAGTTATAATAAGAAAAAAGCAAAAATTTAATCATCAATAAAAGTCATTCTTCGATGAAACATTTCGTTTATGTTCATACTATGTTCATATATATGAATTCATTAGATTAAAATATCTTCTGAAGGATTTATGTTTTTACTGAATTTAGAGAAGATATTGAATTTATTGTGTAGGAGTTCAATGTTCAAGTAGAATTGTCTATTCGAATATTGCTCTATAACTTTCTTAGCATAAAGATATCATTTTTTGTAGCGAAGGTACTGAAATCAAGGTATCCGAAAAGGTGTATGGATACTCGTTTCAGTGCTTGTGAAGTTTCAATAACAGCTTATGAAATATTTTTTAACAAGTTAGTCAATTGAACACTTATAAGCATTTTTAAGTCAAGAGATATGCAATCCGAAAATTTCTGCTATATTCTGGTAGTAAGGTATTCTATCGGATACCTTGAATCCAAAACACTCTTAAAGATTAGACTGATTGATGTGTAAGCTTTCATCATTTTTGGATATGATATCTTCGAGATATAAATTTTTCAAACTAAAGTGATTTTCTATTGATATTCTTAAAAATTTACATCTCATGAGAAAAAACCCTCAAGTGTGAGTCTCCATTTTCAATAGTTTTTATAGAAGTTTGTAGAGTTCGATGAGTTGATGACTATGACATAAAGTATTCTTTAGTATATACTGTTCTTGAAGAGTTGGGTCGATCTCAGCTACACAAGAAATGACTGTAAGCTGTTATTATGAAAAATCAATTACTTAGGGCAATCCAAAAGTAGTGTCGTCAAGGTCTTATTTTCTGATAATAAGGCTAAAAAAGTTTCTTTTTTTTATGAATAAATAGAGCGTCTTTCGCTCTCTTTTTTTCTGCTATTTGATCAATCTTTACTTAATATCATAATAAAAAAAACCTTCGATAAGAACTATTTTTGTTAGAAGCTATAGTGGTTTGGTCTCAAATTCAGGGTGAAAACTTCATTTTTTTCAGTTTTGGTATTTTTTGTTCCTTCTGATTTTTTCGGTGCACTAAGAGATATTTATTTTATGATATGTTTATGGTCATGTAGAGGAAGCCACTAGCTACAACTACCCCTATTTTCAAAAGCGCTAGCTAGTATTAAATATGAATTTTATTCGATTTTTATATAACTGACTATTGTTTTATCTTGATTCTTGTATCTTCCTGGCAAGTGTTTCTTTTATTTTTATATACCTATTGTACACTCATATACAGTAGCTATCATTTGCCAATAGCGTTTTACTGAATCCCTATTATTCACTCATTTATAAAAGAAAAAAGAAATGAATATTGATTCCGATACTGGGGATAGTAACCATGGTCATGGTGGTTTTCGACTAGGTGCAGGTCGAAAACCGAAGGAAGCTACAATTTCATCTCAAATATGGCAAATAAACGAAGAGAACAAGCTGCAGATGGACAAAGAATATCCCGATTTAATAGTAAAGTAACACAGTGGATTAGAGAAAATCAAATGGTCACCCCAAGGTGTTCCATCAACTTATTGTGATAATGCAACCGTTTTATTAATTATTGATTTGATACATTTCAAGCAATACTTTGAAGAACTATTGATTAGGGTAGTTGACGAAACCTTTTGATGTCGTTTTTCGTTACACACGAGTTTTCATTCACGTCTAATAAAAAGTTTAAAAACTTGAAAAGTTTATGTCACATTTTTTTTACCCATACATTTTCTTTCAAACTATTCATATAGCTAATTCGTCGATCTGTCGATCTTATTGCGTCATTAGATAGTCCTTAGTGTCCTCTAGGAAATGCCCAAATATTATCATAAAATAATTAAAAATCACTCCAGGAAAAAGGATTTAACGAAAAGTCTCCCACCCTGAATTTGAGACCAAACCACTATAGCTTCTAACAAAAATAGTTCTTATCGAAGGATTTTTTATTATGATATTAAGTAAAGATTGATCAAATAGCAGAAAAAAAGAGAGCGAAAGACGCTCTATTTATTCATAAAAAAAAGAAACTTTTTTAGCCTTATTATAAGAAAATAAGACCTTGACGACACTACTTTTGGATTGCCCTAAGTAATTCATGGTTCAATCTAAGCAAAACTTTCTTATTGACAAAACTTAAGATTGAAATTCGAAAAGCTAATTTAATTAGAAAATTGTTCTCGTACAGAAAAAGACGATGTCTTTCAAATTTTCATAAGGACATCAACTTATTAGAATTTTATCTAATCTAGCGAGTTTTAACATATCAGCATAATATGAATATAAACAGTACGAATCATTTGAGAATATTCTGTGGTATGATATGCGAACATTCGAGCTTCGTTTTTTTTGTCAGGTATCAATTTCACTTAAAATTTCCTAAAGTTTGATTAATACTAAATGCGCCAAATAGTTCTTGAACGAAGATTATTTTTCATTTCAGGACTAGAGTTAGACAATCTAGGTCTTCTTTGGTTATCATATAATCTTTTCTTAGTGCTACTGGCTGATGAGAATGTCTTGCTAAGACTCATGAATCTGTAAAACAGTATTTTTATTCATTAATAGACGTCTACTGACCTAATGGAATTTCATCTTCAGAATCATTAAACATATTTTTAAGAAACTTTCTCATTTACCATTTCTTGTAAATCATATTTTTGTTGATCATCATCTGTTTTATTTTGTACAGCTTCAAGTAAAAGTTTGTATTTCATTAATCTTTGAAATGGTTGATGCATTACGTCGAATACTGATAAACGATTTGTAAAATTAGTTTCTGTCCACTAAAAAAAGATAAAATAAATTAATTTTTTTATATAAAAATATTCATTTTCTTACNGATAAAAACTTGTGCGTCTATTGGATACCTGTCGGCTACGTGAATCGCTTATTAGCCATAATGCTTACCGAGAACAGTTTAGTTTGTATATTAAAGATGCTCGATATGCCCATGAGTGTAGTAGAGACGACTAGCAAGACAGGAGAAGCAATTCACCCTCAACTATTGCGAACTTGGCGATTCACTATCGATGTCACAAAACAATGAAAAATAAGGAAGAAAAAGAAAAAAGAAAACGTATTTTTGGTCTATTAGTAATTTTATTCCCCGTGTATGAAGTCGGAAGAAAGTAGTATTGACTACCGAATAGACACCAAGAAGAAAAACGTCCAGACAAACTAGGAAGAGATTTACCAATAACTAACTATTGATTAATTGAGTGTGACCTTTCGACCCAAAATCAATAAACTTTCCCATAAGGGTGCATCAATGGAAAAAAACAATAATATTAGAGTCTGGGTTTGCAGAGTTTCACTCGAGACTATCCTACTAGATCTATATTTTTTTGCTCAGTAGGTTTAGATTGGGGTCTAGAGAAACTTTTCTCGTAGACTCTCGCGAATGTACTGTCACAATGAATGTGTAAGCTGAATTGCATTAAATGTTGCTCCTTTTCATTATATCTTTTTTTTGTCGATTTCAGTGTTTTCTGCTGTCCGCCTTCCGTGGAAAATAGTTATCATGTGAATTGCTTCTCCTGTCTTGCTAGTCGTCTCTACTACACTCATGGGCATATCGAGCATCTTTAACATACAAACTAAACTGTTCTCGGTAAGCATTATGGCTAATAAGCGATTCACGTAGCCGACAGGTATCCAATAGACGCACAAGTTTTTATCACGACAGAGTATTTTTGGGAGCTTTCCCAGTGAAAAGCAGAAAAGCGACCGACAAGAGAAAGAGGGAAACTTTTTCGAACCTAGGTCAACAAATGTTTTCACATATGTTTTGAAATTAATACTACTCATATAATAATGAAGATAAAAACCCTTTTTCTATGCTCGCGTGTTGACACTGGAAGAAAGAAAAAACACCAATTTATTGACTCTAATGCATGCGATACACATTTATTTTTATCGAACCTATATGCCCTCAAGGATTTTTTTCTTCCTCTTTTTTCTTTGCTTGCATTGAGTCAGAATCAAACGCAAGGTTTCTTCCAAGTTGACTATATTTAAAGGTGAAGTGCATTGCTCATACCTTCACTTAAGAGATATCTTCTTTACGTCCAAGTAATTATTAATGGCTGATTTGCATACAGACACATTGACCTTGAAGGTGAGTCCGAATAAAATACAAGATACTGACACAACTAGAAAATTACTTACGAATGTATCAAGGACTAAAACGAAATTAGACAGAGAACAACATTCACCGCTAAAAACGCACTGCACTCTGAAAAAATTCTTCGAACTATGTCAAAAATTAGATCATAAACAAGGAATTTATTCTCCTACAAGTATGACCTTAGCCGGATTTCAGTATACGAATAATGGAGATGCCGCTCGTTGCCACACATGTGGTCTGGAAGTATCAGGATGGACATGCGACATGGAACCATTTGCTATTCATGTAAATCGCAGTCCTACTTGTCCATTTGTTCTATTGATGTTACCTTCTCAGAACGTAACTAAAGATTCAATGGGCAATTTTATTCAAATCGCTGTAGCATCAAACAATCCAAGGCAATCACTTCCAAAGTCAGAAGTCGATACAAATACTCTCAACAAACATTTCAACATACTTGTTGAAGTAGATAACATCAAAGAGGTGCGAAAACGTACATTTTCACATTGGCCACATCGATCATCACTTTCCATCTCACAAATGATCGAAGCTGGGTTTTTTAGTTGTAATGTTGGTGATCGTGTCATATGCATTTATTGCAATATCATCTGTCAACAATGGACTCCAAATAATGACAATCCATGTGAAATACATAAAATACTCTCACCCAAATGTCCTTATGTTATTGCTACGTTGACTCGTTCACAAACATCATCGATTTTAGTGATTAATGAACATTATCGCACTGATCAATCATCAGGCTCAACTAGCACCGATCTATTTCGATGTAATGCAATTGTTTATACTGCAGCCTGTAATACAGCTTATATTGAAATACCGAAACGGCATGCATCTTTTGCCAGTTGGCCAAATGAAAATTTGCCATCTGTTGATGATCTAGTCAAAGCTGGATTCTTTTATACAGGCAGTAAAACTATTGTGACTTGTTTTTATTGTAATGGTTCTTTACAAAACTGGGGTCCCAATGATAATCCAACAATAGAACATGCTCGTTGGTTTCCACATTGTGCATATGCAAAACAATTGTGTGGTGCTGAACTGTATCAAAAGATTCAAGAATCGAAACAAATTCAAGGTTTTTTTGCTTACTTGTTCAAACAAGCGTATATGATGTATCTGTTGTTTTTCGTCTAGCAAGGACGCAAGCTAATAATACAAACGATCAAACTGGAGAAAATGGTGGTAGCTCAAGCTATGGACGTCTTTTGATACCAGATGAGAGTACCTTATCGAGACTTGTAGCTGCTCGACTTGATCTGCCAATTTCACAAAGTTTACTTAATCGTAATTTCAAACTCTCAATCATCAAAAGATGTTGGGAGGATCAGCTTCGGTTAAAACGTAGGTCCGCTATCTTTTTTGTGCTTAGAATAACAGAAATAAATATGTAGTTTGACTTTATTTTAGATGAGGATTTTGTGAGTGACTGTGATCTATTCATGGCTTGTACAATTCTTCAGAAACAAATAGAACATATAGACGGTAAGAAGGAAAACATAATTGTGCCAAGTATGGCTATGGCGAAGATTCGAGAAAAAAACGAAGCAGACAATTTTTCAAGAAGTAATACAAATGAGGATGTTTGTATGAATACCCTTGGAGAAACTCATGTTCATGAACAACCATTTTCTGAGTTATCATCAAGAAATTCATCGGCTGGGAGCGATGTTGAAATAAGAAAGCCGTCATCAGAACTGATTCGGGATAGTGCAGCTTCCAGATTGTCCGACAGGGTGGAAGAGAAGCAACAAGATACCAAGTCACGAAAAAGAGCCGATTTTGGTCAAAGCGAAGGAAATCGCTTATCACCAACAAATCCTTGCGTGTTGTGTTTGGAAGAAGAACAGCGTCTGGCATGCATACCCTGTGGTCATTTGTGTACGTGTGTGGCGTGTAGCCATTTCCTTCGGTCCTGTCCGATTTGCCGTCGTAGCATTGACGCTTTTGTACGAATATATATTTGACATCATGTTCAGTAATTTCAACCTCTAATCACTACTAGGAAATCACGTCTAATTTTCGTTCTTATTTTAATTTTGAATTATAATTTCTATTTTCCGCATTTTTTATTCTTTCGATGACAGGTAATATTTCATTGCCGCTCGTTTATAATATTTTTCTGATGCTTTTTTTCTCAACATATTGCTTGTTGGATTCGGGTGTAGATGTACTCTGAAAATAAAAAAGGAGTTTTGCAGAACCTTTTTATGGGTTCTGCTATCGAGTAAAACGTAGAACCCTCAAAAAAGGTTCTGACTGAAAAAAGATTCAGTAAAGAAATAACGAAACCATATCTGATTTTTCTTCAAAAACGGTTCTGTCCTACGTATAAGGTGTTCCATTATTTAAATGTTTTATCGTTGGCATTTCCCGTATCTCTGTATCCCTATTTCCGTATTCTTATATGCATACCCTCATATCTATACCCTTATAACCATACCAGTATAACTATACCTTTAATACTACATCCCTATAACTATACCCTTATAACTATACCTTTATAACTATACCCTTATATCTATACCCTTAATACTACATCCTTATAACTATACCCTTAATACTGCACGCTTATATCTACACTCTTATATCTATACTTGATAGCTATGGCAACTATGCCCATATTTTGATATTTCCTAAAAAAAAGTGTGTTTCTGGGAACAATCTTAGAGGTTTTCCGATTTTGTCATTGTCTGAAAAACCATTCAGAGTTTCCGAATATTGATGTTCAAAGTCTCCCGAACCTAAACAAATAGTTATAGTACTTTCTCACAAAGCAATATCAGAAACCCCAAAAAGGTTTCCAAGCTCACCAACATGAGAATCCAAGGAAGGATCTCAAAAATATCGACAGTCAACAGATTTCGATACCATGTCATGTATCATAAAACTACCGAAATGGCAGATATCGTTATTTCTCGAATGNGCATGATATGAGACACATAATGTAGCATGAGAAAGCGTGAGTTCAAAGTGTTCAGCAGCGAACTTGATGACAGCTACAAAATTTCTCACTTGAAAACTTTCGCGCTTAAATATCTAGACCGTTAAAACAATAAAAATTCATAAAAAGGAGCAAAATACACTAGCTGCAGTACTCTAAAGAATGTTTGAAAAAACAGCAAAAAAACATGGTGAAAAATTGGCTGGTTTTCAAAGTCCAAAGTTGCCTGACCAATTTTCCAGTTTCGTTCCAACCATATGTACCACATTGGCACTTCACATTCACACACAACAACATTATTTGGCGAAAAAAGTCGCCGGTGAATGTCTTTCTCTTCTGTTTTCTCTCTTTTTAACTTGTGTGTAATGGTGTCTTTTGTTTTTATTTTTTTTTTGAACGAATCATTGAAATACTACTGTAAAGCCATATAAGACGTGCTTATAAGTGGAGATGTGAGGATATGTGTAACGCTGTGGATATGAGTGGATTTTGGTGTGTTAATTGTCTTCAAACATACTCCCACCCATGGACTCAATTCTTGAGGCAACTTGAAGTAACGACAGAATGCTGCGAGAATTACATCAAGAGATGAATTATAGACATATTAGACTATTTTATTGCATATTTTTGAAAGAGACAACAAAAATCCTTAGCATTAAAACAATCTAAATGAAATAACAATGAATGATAAAAGAATTGTAGGCAACAAAGAAGTCTTTTGAAATATATAGTAGACACTGATTGAGCTAATGCTTTATGTTAAGAACAAATGGATACTTCGAATAAAATCTAGAACAGAAGGACTTTTATCAGAAAGCAAAAAGAACAAAGAATCTTGTTGACTTTTCAAGATTCGTCTGTACTATAATTATCACTTTTGATAAGGGAAACTAATAAGACATGTCATCAATGAAAACGAAAAAAGTATTATCACATATCAATGAGCTTCTGTCAAACAGCATCTATTTCTAAATGATATGGCAGTCTATGTAAAACTGACATAATTTGAATCCTTATTCAGTGACGTTTCCGAAACTATTGTTAGCATCGAGCAAAATTAAAGCAGGGTTTGGGAGTAACCAGCTATCGGCAAATAAAATACTCATTTGGCCTTTACTACTTTCCTTTGTTTTGCTTTTTTATCACAGCTAGCTACTTACTATTTCGCCATCATTAGGCAATTTTTCTGCGTTTATAGAATAAGCCCTATCTAGTTTGTGATCGTCATGACTTTTTAGATAGAATAATATTTACTGAACAAAAATGCATAACAAATTTTCCACGAAAATTAGTAGAAAAACATGTGAAATGCGCAATTAAAAGTCACAAAAAAGTTCGAAAAAGTTCATGGAAAAAAACGCCATTAAGAGAAAACATGCATCCTTCTCTCTACTAAAACTAGTTCGAAGTTTCTTTTGCCTATGATCTAACCGCTCCGGTAAAAGAATAGGTGTGCTTCACGTGGTCGGTTGCTTGATCAGATCGGTGTAGAACAAGGGAAAACAGGAGACGAAGTCGCACAAGAGAAAAAGTACTTTGAATAACGTGAGAGAAAGAGCAGTTTATCCTTGTCATCGACGTAAAACGAGGAAAAGAATGATAGAAGCGATACAAATATTTTGATGGATGGAAAGAGACGAGTACGAGATACAGCAATCAAAAATTTAAGTTGCTACCATCTTACACCCAAGAACAATTCATATCAAAGACCAATGTATAAAGATGACATTTAAGGTGAATTACGGCAGCAATTTATTTAAAAACTATCATCTGAACTACCTACTATCAATAGTATTCTCGAAGAGAGATCACCGAGAAACCTGCTTAAATGGTTTGAGTTTAGTAAAAAAAAAAAAAAAGAAAAGAAAATTATCGAACCAAGACAGAGAAAGAAAGGCAAAATTGTGAAAGCTAGTTTAGTACTGTTTTAAAATAGTTCTTTACGATCGTTTCGCTCGAAAACCTGGTTGCAACTAGCAGAAATCACTAAGAAAAACGTTCATGTCTGCATTTAGATGTTTGTCGCTCATTACACAAACCACTTTGATGAAGACAATTAGAAATTATTTTATGTTTCGAGAAAAAACATAGCAAACTCGTGCCACATAAGCAGAATTTATGTAACAACGATGTGGATTTTTGTATCAACTTTAAACAGGTACGTAACAGTTTTAACTGTCTTACGAATAATATTCTGATTTTTCATTGATAGGCATTGATCGATGATTGAATTATACGAGAATTGCATGAGTTATCTAAGAATTGGGATTCTTTTTCTTTTGTAATCATAGAGATTCAATAATAAGTGGATGATGAAAAAAAGTATTTTGTAAAATCCATTATCTCAATTTGTTTATTTTCATCATTAAGGAATTGATCAGCTGTAGCAATGATGAAGAAAAAAAAGAATTATTTTCAATCTAGAACGTAAAAACGTTGCTTCTATCATTTTATTATTCCCATCAGTTAAATTTATTAATACTACGAGACAGAAAATCATATATAAGACAAGAAAAAAAAACATTACACATAAAATTTATTGTGTTCCTGTCGGAAATTCTCTATCGAGTGCACTCCAATCCATGTAGCTGTTAATACTACTGTCACCTCTTGATAATTCACTTTCATCACGTGCTGTCATGTCACCACCAGCACTACTTCGTGCACTAACTCTTGTACCACCATAAGTATTGGTATTCAAAGCGCTTGATCGTCGATTTAGTACTAATCGAAGATCATCACCATAAGTATTTTCATTTGTTTGTTCAGTTACACGAGTCAAGCTATAAGTCGTTTCATCCATATTATCATCATCAAGTTCATCAAGATCAGCTAATGGTGTTACTGTTTTAGTAAATTTTTTATTAGGTAATGTATCTTGATCATCAGCCAACAATTGTTTAACACGATCATCAACTTCCCAATCGGACAAACTCGCAGAGCTTAAAATAATATGTAAAAATAACTTATTCCTAAAATGATCCGTAAGATTGCCTACCTGGACGGAGCACTTGATGGGCGTTGTTCAAATTCTCCTTCTTGTTGTCTTTGTGATTGTCGTTGTGTTTGAGGTTGAGCTGATGTAGGCCGTTGTAATTCTTTCATTCGTTCTGAATAAGTTTTTGTTACTCGTGGTTCCGTCTTTTCATAAGGTACATAAAGACCTGGTACTCGTCGTGTACCATACAAACGCATAAGTGCTTTAGGATCAGTTGAATCTGGTTTTACCATGGTTCGTATTTCACTGTCTGTCTTATTTAAAGAACGCACACGTTGATTGTATGTCGTTGGTTTATGAGTAGGTGGTGATGCTTTACGTATGGTTCGTACCAGTTTTGTTCGAGCTTGACTGCTTTTCACAGGAGCAGTCATTGAACCTCGTTTTTGTCCAAGATTAGCTGGAGATGAAAGTGGTCGTTTTCTTGCCATATTACTACGAGCTGGTGGTGGACCTTTTTGTTTAGCCTAAACAGAATACAAATCGATATTCATCGTATATAGAAAGAAATTCTCTATTGAATTTCAACATATGTATTCAATTAATTAGAAGTAATTCAAATTTTAAATTTAATTCCTTGAAGAACAAATTTATAATGTATCTTTAGAGATTTTAAAAGTCAAAGAATTAAAAAAAAACACTTCAAACCTGAATAATAGCTTTTGCCATTGGTGTCATTGGTCGAGAAGATCTAGCTGATGATGCTGATGAGGGTCGTGGTAACGCTGACGATGATGTTGAATATTGAGTTGCATTATGATTAAAATTAGCTGTTGTAGCTGACATTGGTCTTGATGGTATTCGTTCTGAATAATCATCACCTATATCAACATCATCATCATCATTAAAATCAAGATCATATGTACGATTAATAATGCCATCAGCACCTGCCATTTCACGCACAGTTGATGTAAAACTTGTTTCTAATGGTTCAATTTGAAATTCTTCTAAAGCTCGTGTTGGTGGTATAGGTTCACCATGAAGAACAGCATCAGCAAAACGAAGAGCATTTTCAGCACGTGCACGTGATAATGATTGTTGTTGTCGTTGACGAGCTTCACGGTGTCGATCAGCAATAGTAGGTGATGCAGCTTTACGTGGCGTACCAGTTGCTGAATATGACGAATGACTAACAGTTTTACGTGGAGAAAATGGATCACGAGGTGTGGTAGTTTTTATTGAAATAGGATGTTCACTTGAAACTTGTTTACGTGGTGAAAATGGGTCACGAGGTGTAGTAGTTTTTATTGAAATAGGATGTTCACTTGAAACTTGTTTACGTGGAGAAAATGGATCACGAGGTGTAGTAGTCTTAATTGAAATCGGGTATTCACTAGAAACTGGTTTACGTGGCGAACGAGGTGTAGTTGAACGAACTGAAATAGGATCTACTACATGTGAACTTGTATCTGAAATTGGTTCTGTGGGACGTGGTTGCCTTATTAGATATTCAAGAGGAACGTCCTGCAAAAAAAATAGTAAGTGCGTGATAAAGTTCGATTCAATCAAATACATACATGTTCATCTGGTTCATATGTTTGTACGTATGGTTCATATGAAACTCTCCGTTTAGAACGATCATCATCGATGTTACCAAAAGCAATTTGTTCGGCTTGTTTTTCTTCTTGTTCTCGTTGTCGTCGACGTTGTAAAATAAGTTCGCTTTTTTGTTGCAATTCATCAGAATTATAAAAACCTAAAGGTTGTCGTTCAAATCCGTTTGGATATGAAGGTTGAGTCGTAGATTCTTGTTGTTGCTGTAATATTTGCGTATGTTGTCGTTCGAAGCCAATTGGATAAGAAGTTGATGGCATTTCATTAATGTTAGTAACCATTGGTATTGGTGGTGGCTGTTGTTGCTGTTGCTGTTGACTTAAATGAAGTTGTTCTCGTTCTATTTGATCTCGTCTGATTTGAGCTAGTAATGCATCAGCATGTGGACCAGCGATATCAGTAACATTAACAAATTTTCGTTCATCACCTTCACCACCGCGAGCATATTGTAAGTCATATAAAATTTGATGAGCCGGTAAATCAGTCATAGTAGATCGTTCACGGCGACGAGCTTCTATTGCTTGTTGTTGAATTTGACGAGCAGCAGAAAAATGAGCTTCAGCTGATGTAAAATTTACACCAGTAGCATCTCGCAATAATGCCTACAATGAATATCGATGAATCAATATTTAGTTCTTTTTTTGTGTTTAAAATAATATAAAACTTACTTGAAAAAGACCTGGCTCAATAACAAAACCATCTTGTCGAGGTACTTCAACTTGTATACCTGTATCAACTTTTGTATCCGATGATGTAGTAACAATATTAGGTGCAGGCATTGGTACATCTATCTGAGTAGTATTAAGTGTTTTAAGAGGTGGACGCATTTGCAATAATTGAAGACGAGGTCGATTGCTTTCGGCATATTGATGCATAATATTTTGCACACAGGAAAACTTTTGTTGATCAGCGCGCGTTGCTCGCGGTGAAATTGCTACTGGTGGTGGAAGTTGAGGAGCGAAGTGAAGCATTGGAAGAGGAGGACGTGGTGCTGCTGGAACATATATTGGTCTAGCAGGATAAACAGCAACTGGTGGTGGCGGCGGTGGTGGTGGTGGTGGTAATCGCGCTTGTGTTAACATAGTTGTAGTAGTGTATACAGGACCTCCGAGATGAAGAAGTGGTAAACGTATTGAAGGAATATATTGAATAGTTGCTGGTGCTCGAACTTGATCATATGATGATGGTGGCACTGGAATTTGTGGAAAATATTGATGATGTTGACGATCACGTTGTGGATCTCGAGAAGATGATCGATGACTATATGCATCTCTAGTAGGAGATCGATGGCTATGTGGATCTCTTGTAGGAGATCGACGACTATTTGAATCTTGAAATGTTGGTTGATGACTATACGGCTCTCGATACGATGGATAGTGACCGAGAGGAGATTGTTTCGAAGTTATTGTTCTGTCAGTATCTAGATGTAAAGGCACATTTATTTTTGCATAAATTAGAATTTAAATTAACTCAATAGATATCAAGAGACTGAATTATTCTATTTTGTTTGATTTCATGAAACAGTTGCAAAATTTTATGAATAAATCTTCAGAGAATTTTTCAATTATCTTCAATAAGTATTTAACTCCAAATTAATAACATAAACTGAAATTATTCAATTTATTAAAGTCTCATTCAAACTAAATTCGATTGTATTTAATAGTTTAAATTCAAAATTCAATTCTTTCTTATTAATAAGATAAAATTATCTATTACCTCTCATAGCATATTTCTCTCGTTCTTCTTGTTCGAGTCTCAAAGGCAAATATGGATCAGAATCATCAAGAAAACGGCGATCACTATTTGATTGTCGAACTGAATGAGGTGATTGTTGTCGTTGAAATCCATTTGTTGTTGATGGTGAGATATGTGATGGTGGACTTGATCTTTGTTGATATCTAGGTTGATGGCCAGTTGAGTCTTTATAATCAGCTAGCATATCGCGTGGATCACAAGTTAATGTTTCATCAATACCAGTTTCACGTGATGGTGCACGAAAATCATGACTACGACCAAAATCTCCACCTCCATCATTACTCATCACAGGTAATGATACACTTTCTTCAAGTGAATTTCTTCGAAATGAAACATCGCGTCGACGAGGACTTGATGGAAAATCACTTTGTGTATGACTTCCATCATCATCTTCACTATCTTTCGTTACATTTGTTAAATCAGTATCATTATCTGCTTGATCATTATTCAATTTCGTTTGTTGTGAATGTTGTTTCACAAGTGTTTCATAATGTTGTGGATCACTAACTAATGAACTTGATGCAAGAAATTGTGCTGATACTGGAATACGCATACCAGTTGTTTGTGTTTGATCAGTAGTTGTTGTAAAATCACGATTAGCCCAACCTACCATCCAAATACTACGTCGAGCTGCTTCAGCATATGGTTCATCAAATTGTCGTACATATGATCGTGATGGATCATCTGAACGTCCGTCCCATTCCATCGATAGATTTCCAGCATTATTATTATTATTATTATTACTATCTGAATTAGAATAATTACGTCGATGATGATTTTCAAGAATAACAACACCAGGTGGTTGTTGTGTTGAAGATGTATTAACAAAACTTCCAATAGTAGTATTATTTATACTTGTTGGTGTTTGTTGAAACATAGTTTGTTGTGCATCATAAGGTACCATACGTACAGGAAAAACGATATATTCATGTGGTGGAACAAAAAGTGGAGATTGTTTAAGTAAATATCGTTTATCTAGACTTATTGGTAATTCTAATTCACGTAATTGTGTACTCATTGTTTGTAATAAGGGAATTGATTTACTATCAAATTTAGTATGATCATTATTTAATTCTTGTTGTTTTGTATTAGTTAATGATGATGTATCAAGAAGAAGTGGTATAAGCATTGTCATAAATTCACCATATTCAACACATGTTTCAAACCATTTAGGTTTAAAATCAAATAGTGGTTCTTGATTATGATGATCATGTCTAGAAGTAAATTTTTGAAGAATCATAATATGATTTAAATTTATAGTTTTTATTCACATCGTACTAATACAAGATTATCACAAATATGGTATAAGACAATGTAGGATTATCTATTCTGAATTATTTTTCTTTTGCATATGAAAAACATTTGATCAATAACTACATTTAATGGCAACAAAGTACGATTTCGAATCATACGCAACTCTGTCTGATTGGAATGAACTACCAATGACGACAAAAAAAAAAAATTGAGAACCGTATTTTTTTTTTAACATAAAATGTAGTGTGTGGTTAGAAAAAATTGACGTAGATAGGCATGAATAGTACAAAAGTGGATACTTCTAATATAAATAAAAATTGAATACAACGATACAAAGTGTTACTACATTGTCTGGCTAGAGAACGTTTTCAACTGATAAATTACTTTTGAATTCGGACTTTGTACATAAGATCGACTCCAGTAAGATATGAAAAGCCTCAAAAGTGTAAGTCTCTTTCAGCCTTTCTGTCGACAATTATAGGCATTTTACTGAAATTTGAGTCTCCAATTTGCTATATTCTAACAAATCGACTGATGATAGTTCGGTCTGGTATTTCATCTATCGAATTGATTTGTTTTCTAGTAGAATATCCTGAAAATTTCAACTTATAAGAACGTTTCCTTCTTGGTATACTGAAATCTTAAAAATCACTTATATTTCACGAAAGATGCTAAAATTTTCTGTTTTTTGAAGCTTCAAATATCTCAAGTAGAAGAACCATCATTCGATTTGTTAGTATGTACCAAGCCAGAGGCTGAAACTTCAGTAAAACGTTTATAATTCTGGATGAAAGACTGATATATCATCAAGTGAAAACGTTCCCTCATGAGTATTTTTAACATACTTGAAATAATATTTGTTAATAGGTCATTTCATACTTCATCGACCGCATTTGCTAGTATACGTTGTGACTTTTGAACTTTTATTTCAAACTAGTTTAGTAGCGTAAAAATAAGGGCTATAATTTGGCCATTCATACAATCCCATTTTATTGGTTTAACTAGAAAATACTGCCGATACAGCATTGCATGACCTATTCAGATATATTATTCAAGAACGTATTAAAAAATTCAAACAATATATCAACAAATTGTATCTTCGTATTAAATGTCTATTTGTATTATAGGCATCGACTCTTGTACTATTCATATAGAATATGACCAAATCATTTTAACCCTTAAACTTTAGGTTTTATATCAAAAATACGATTCGCAATCATTTTTTCGTTAGTAAAAACATATATGAATTTTTAATGCATCAAACTTTCCTGAAAAGTCACCAAAGATTGGCCTTTGTATCAATTATGTATCTCTGTGAAGAGTAAATAGTTGAAACATGCTCTGTACTCGCCTTGTTACTTTGTCTCTCAGAAAAGTCAATTTTCGACAGAAAAATTGAAATGATAGCCTGAAGTTTGATCTTTCATCAACGACATGATTTTTTATTTGACATCTCGTTCTGTCAGCATGTACTTGAAAAAGTAAGATTTAAAAATAAAGGGTACTTCAGTCTAAGATGCTCTTCCAAATAAAATCTATCGAATGAGAGCTTACAGAAAACAAATGAGCTATTTATGATCCTTATTTGTTGAATATTGTCCGAAAACATCTTAATAAATGACTAAAAATTTTAACATAGTTTCTGCATACAATCCTAGCATATTCTAACAAATTCATGTGACTTGAATGTACCCAGTTCAAGCTCGATTGTTGAGACTCTCTATGATAAAATCACTCGAATGATATCTCGAGTTCATATTTAAAAAATGAATTTCTGAAAATATGTTTCACAATAAAAAAAAAGATATCAGATTCATCTTACATATCATTCATATAATGTTGAATAATATCTCCTTGAACATCTTGTAGAATAATTGTTTCTAAGAATCCTTCATATAATTGAATATAAGTTGGATTAATTTGCATCCATTTTGCTTTCAATTTATCAATAATTAATGTAATTTCATCATTATTATCTGTATCATTATCTTGATGTTGTCGTGCTATAATTAATGTAGCAAATGCTCTCATGAGCTGTTCTGATGGTGTTAAATCAAAAAAAAGATTTAGTACAATACGTAATAAATCCATTTCATCTGATATTAAACAACGAAATGAAAGAAGTATTGTTGCATAACTAATAATTTTCCATGAAAGTTTATCAGATGGATTTGTTAATTCAATTTTATAACGTAAATAATTACGTAAAGTAAGTGATAAACGATCACGAGTATCTAATAAAAATAAAATAATACAAAAATCACGAAAATAAATTAATATTCGATCAGGTATATTTGGTAATTTATGAAAACGTAATGATTTAAGTAAAGCTTTAATTGAATAAAAACTATCATTTGTTTCATTTTTTGTTTGTTTACGTCTATTATTTGTCATTGTTAAATAATCTAAATACCATTTAAGACATGATAATTGTATTCGACTAGCTGATAATATTTGTATAAATATATGTATTGTACGATAATAAATTAAACGTATATGTGTTTCATATTTACATGTTATATCATATTTATCATCATCATATGTATTTAATATTGAAGAATATATTGGTGGACATGGTAAATAATATTTTGATGATATTAATACTGGTATTAATGTAAATAAATAAATCATAATTGCATTTAAACGTCTTAATAACATTTCAGTTAATGGTACTTGTAAGAGTGTTGCACATTGAAGAAATTGTTCTAATGTTGAAGATAAATTTTTAATAAATGACATTATATCATCTTGTTTGTAAGTACGTTTAAGTACAGATTTAAGATTATCTATTTGAAGATATTCACATAGTTTTGTATAAAGTAATGCATCAACTGTTATTGTATTTAAAGGTGAATATGATGGAGATGTTTGTTTCGTTGTTTTAGATGTATCATATAATCCATTATGTGGTGGTAATACAGAAGCTAAGCATAAAGCTGTTCGCCAATCACCAACTAGTTTAGAAAATAATCTAAATACAAAAGTTAAATTGAACAATATTGAAGTTTCATTTTATGTTTAAGTCATTTTTAGAAATGGAAGAATATCCCTGTCTTTCAGTATAGAATATTGCCTAATGACGAATTCAATAGCGCAATATCTCCCCTATAAATAATAATAGCTGTAGTTTTAAACAGAAGGGCGGCTTGGCACAGAATTCGATTCAAAACAAAAAGTCGTCTTTGACTTGTCCAGCGTCATTATATAGCAGGTGGTTTTGAGTACAGAGCCTTATGAATAAGTGTCGAACTATGTAGCCATTCAGCTATGGTGGTCATTGTTAGAGAAGATATTGGGTGTGTAGGAATATGTGTGAACTTCTAAATTGCTTTTATATATCAAATACAATTATTTCTAGAAAAGATTATGGATTTAAGAATGAAAAAAAAATCAACAATTTTTAAAATCGAATGTTGTGAATTTGTGTCGAATACAAGTTTATGTACAATTAAATATTATTAAGCTCGTTATAGAGTTTATAAAATGCAACACGATCAATTCTAAAGAGTACTTTTATTGTAATGAATAACTTTTTTGTTTTTCATTAGATTCAATTGAAATTTTCTTTTTCTTCTTCAAGATAAAAGTCATAGAATTACCGGTTGACCGAAAAAATATCGAAAAGTGTTTTAGCAACTTATAACTACCAAGACACGTTTCTTTGTCGTATGAAATTATACTAATATTGTAGTAGAGATTATACACAAGTCAAAAGAAAAAAAAAGAACTTTTAGGAAATTCATATATTTCAATTTTTTCTTTATCTGCATAGTGACTGTAATCATCAATCACTTTAATCAATCGATATAGGAATTTTTGCTCAACACCCATTAAGTGTGTGTTTCTTATATTTTGTAATTATTCTTTTTTTCGATTCAATTTGAAAATATAGTCATCTGATAAGAGTAAAGATCTTTCTTTTTATGAATTAATAATGACATGACTGGAGATGTTAGCTGACCTACATCCGGCGAAGATAGATCATCTATGGTCATAATGAGAAACTTTTAGTTATATAGTAATTATTTTTCCGACTATTGTACTTCGTCTCTATCAATTATTATTGATCATTGTAACTACTAGTTACAAATACAAACCGATAGAATAATAAGTAAATCGATAATAAACTATAGACGTTTAAAGGCAACGTTGACTAGATGCATTACTTTTGTTTTTCGAATACTTTCTAGTTTTGATATTTTTTTCCTTTCGGTCTTTCTACAGTATATTGAATTATCTAGCGCTGTATACTTACACAGCTTCATTTGGTGATTGACCAAGTATAAATAATTCAAGTACTTTTAATGGTTGCCAAAATTTACTCATTTTTTGTTGTTGAATAGCTAAATTTAAACGATTTCGATCAATATAAATCATTCGATGTTTTATTTGTTCATTGACTTTTTGTTTTGTTTTAAATAAATTTGGTAATGGACATGCTGAATCAACTGAATAAATAAATAATTGCTGATGATATTGTTCGTCATTATTATCCGTTGTTATCATTGATCGAGCCATAAAACGAGCTAAAGTACGTAAAACAGAACGTAAAGCATTACCAGGCATACCAAAATAAGTTCGAGTATCAATATGTTGAAATAAATTGGAACTAAATAAATCAATTGGAAGACATGATGATAAAAGTGATGTTTCACGTTTTAAAGCAACATTAAGTATGCATACAGCATCACGAATATTATATTGTTCAAGTAATGCATAAAGTACACGATGAAGTGCAAGAGCTTTACGTGCTTCAGTTGGTGGTTTTCCACGACGATATGTACGTACAGAATTTGGCATATCAATTGAATTACGTGATCGACGACGTTGTTTTCGACGTTCATTTAATCCTGAATAACCTTTTGTATGTAACGGATGATCAACAGGTGCTATTGCTGGTGGAAAAAGATCATTTAAATCAATTTGTTGACCATATGGTAATAGACGAATAGCATTTAATGATGGATATGATTGTAATATTGATTGAATGAAAAGACGAATTGTTGTTAAATATTTTGGTAAATTTTTTACATCAAGATAAAATTTTTTTTCTATTGTTAACCATAATTTATACCATGAACGAAGAAGAGTAAAACGATTATAATGTGAATCATTTGCCTTGAATACAAAAAAAAAACAGATAAAGAAATATTAATATAGTTAGGAATTTTATAGAAAAGATGCTACGAAAATGTTAATAGTGTTAGTACGGTCTACAACAGTTAGAACAGATCTTAAATGAATCGTTCGTTTTAGACAAGCATTCGCTATTCATAACGATAATGTTTTTAGTTTGGAATTCATACAGAAAAAGTCACTCTATTGAGTATGAAAAACTTCTACAAAAGTAGGGCAATTCTTGATACTGGATACGTTTTTTTGTAAGTAGGAATAAACTAATTCCTTGAATTTCTAATCAAGAGATTACAATATTTTCACTCCTACTAATTCTTTATACCAGTTGTGATAAGTTTTGAACGATCTTTCTGAACTTATTCTTAGGTTTTGTCTAATGTAAAATACTGATCTCAAAATCAGTTGGAATTGATCGAAAAATAAACTAAAAGCTGCGATTTTTTTTATCGATTTCAAGACTTTTTTATTTTTATTAATGAATTTCAACTACAGGTTCGGATCTACAAGAAAAGAAAATGTTATCTTTGAGATCATGTTCTAGAAACCAGTGCATCTGCCATAGCAATAAGTTAAGGGCACAAACCCTTATCAAAATATGCATAGCTCATTTGAGTCTATATAATACACATAGTGTCGATTCAAAAGCGATTTATCAATGTAAGGACACCTCTTATAAAAAATATTTACCTGTAAACCTTGCCGTCGATTAGGTAATGAAGATGGTAAAAAATTATCTAAATTAATATTTGTTCCTTGTAATAATCCTAATTGTTTAATTCCTTTACAAAGTCGAAAATTTTTTTCATCTTCTTCTTCTTGTTCTTCTTCTCCTTCATTATATTCAACTACTTTTTGTCTTCGACATAATTCAAATGTATTTAATTTCGTTGGTATATATAAAATAGCTTGTAGCCACTGTTCAACAATATATAAAATACATAATTCTAATAATTCTGGATCATTTACAACAGTTGTCTGTTGTTTAAATACATCAATAAATAATGGTATAAATTTTGTTAAACATGAAATATGTAAAAATGTTAATGAACCAAATGAAGATGATAAAACAAGATCAGTTAAACAATGTGATAATTGTATTGACGTAAGAATGTCTTCATTATTCTGTGCTAGAAGTATTGTTTGTGTTGTTCGTTCAAGACATGAACATATTTCATGTTGAACACGTTCCGATGATGTTAAAAGAAGATGATAAGCAGAAAAAATGTCATCTAATGAAAGTTCAGGTAAATCATCAATTGCTAATGATGTTAAACTTCCATATTTTTTTGACATATTTACTTCACCACCACCACCAATACTTTCTGTATCAATACGATCACCAACTTTTGGAAATTCATCAAATGATCTAAATATGATTGTTTTTTTTCTTTTTAACTTAATAAAAAAAACCAACGAAAAGGACAAGAACGCATTCAACTAAAAATCTGCCCGTTAGTTAGATTATTAAAACTTATGTATGATTCGATAATGTCTAGAGTAATGAAGGTCAGATATACTGACCTTAGTTCCTCATCGTCCAAATTATCATCGATATCGTGCGACAACATGCTTACAGCAATATTGTTCTTACTTCAGATTGATCTCTGAAGATAGAGTATTCAATTCTACGACAATTACTATAAGAAAAAAAATCTACCCAAACAACTTCTCGTTGTCTTTTATTTGCCACATCGGTACCGGTCAGCGGTATGTTAGCTGCAAAGTCAGTACTCTTCTTTGACTTCTCGAATGATGGTGATTCATAAAATTCTGTTCAAGTAACTCTTTATATATCACTCTACAGCACTTTTCAAACACCACAAAAGCATACCATTTTCAAATTTAATAGATACTAGTTACCGCAGAAATCTCAAGCGCATCATTCACTAAACATCATTTTATCCTTGTTGATATTTAACAGATTTTTAATCAAAAAGTTACCATTAGAACCAAAACTAAATACATGTTTGAAATCAGTATAAAAAAAATCGAGCTGATTTATCTCTAATTTTTATATGCTTTCATGAACATTTTTTGTGGAAAAATTCAATCGAACTACATGCCATAACCATTGATCGCAATCTGTACTATCTAAGCAACATTTTAATAGAATTCGTTTTTTTTGACTTGAACCTACTGAATTTTTCGATGAAAAAGAAAAGATGTTCATGAAAACATTTGAAATAGACATAAGTCAACTCAGTCTTTACGCTAATTTCAAATTCCTTATTATTTTTGACTGAAATAGTTACTTTTGACTAAAAAATCTGCTAAATACATATCAAAAAGGCACAACATCGTGTGTAGTGAATAATGTATTTGGGATTGTTCGGATGATCAGTATTTTTCTAGAGTTTGAAAAGTGCTACAAAATAATATATATAAATAATGTTTCTGTAACAGAACCTTATGGATCATCAACATCATTCGAGAAGTCAATGAAGAGTAACGAATAAAAGATACTGAGAAGTTGCTTTAATAGTTTCTTTTTTGTTTATAGTAATTGTTACGAAATTGAATACTGTATCTTATGAAACAAATCTGAAATGAAAGCAATATTGCCGTAAGGAATTTATCTCTCAATATCGATGACATTATCGACGATGAAAAACTAAGATCAGCATTTCTAGCATTTATTACCCTAGACATAATAGAATTATTCATAAATTTTAATAATCTAAGTAATGTACAGAATTGTGAATTAATGAACCTTCATTCTTTACCTTGCTTTATGTATAAAAACTGAATGATCTTGTTGTTTATTTACATCCATTAAATAGAGACTAAGTAATGGATCATAAAATCTTCTATCACGGATTTTATTTGAATAAGTTAAACGTGCTAATCGATACCCATCACTGCAATAAATCAATGATTTATTTGTATTAACAGCTAAAGAAAATTTTTGTTGTTTAGTTTTATCATCATCTGAAAATGGTGCTATTGATTTCATAAATGAATCTAAACCTAAATGTGTTGTTGCTTCACTATCCTTTCCAATTAATGGATGAATAATAACAAATAATGATGGACCTTGTGTTATACATTCACCTTGTGTTATTAAATTTAATTGTGAACCAAAACGATTAAGAAAAAATAAAGCACCACGATTAGTTAAACCAATTATAAATTGATCATCATAACTCCATATTAAATCATTTATAAATACTTGTTGATGACTTGGTGATGATGTTTTAAATGAACAATCAATTGGTATTAATTTTGAAAATATAATTGTTGTTAATGAAATTAAGAGAATATTTGTTGATAAACCAATAGCTAATATAGGTGATGTATGAGCAAAATGTATAAAACATAATGATGATGATAATGATGATAACATAATTGGTATTTGAAGAATTTCAAACGAATATGATATTAATTGTTCTGAATAAATTGTTGATTTCCAATTAATATCAATACGATTTATTTGAATATAACCTGATGTATCAAAATAAGCAAATGCACAAATAATTGAAGAATTTTTGGAACGAAAAAAACAATCAATTGATATTTCATGTTGATCATCATTCATTATATCGAACTGTTGATTTGCTAAATTTAATTCATGCCAAGTACCTATTTCACCTGTCGGATGACTCGCTATACTTGAACATATTGGAGATTTATGATGCCGTTTTATAGATATTAATTGAGAATGAGATAATTTAAGCCATAGAAATAATCGATATGGTTGTTGTAATATAAGAATAGCTTGTTCGCCATTATTACTTATATAAATTTGTGGTGTCGTTTTAATTGCTTTTATAGCTAATGGACATGGCGGTATTGTTCGAATTAATTTATCTTTATCCCAAATTGTTATTTCATAATTTGATGCAAGAAATGCACATAATTGACCATTATTTGATAGACAATGAGAAAGAGATGATTTTGAAATATGTGATATTGTTTTATTTGATATATGTTCAATTTTACCATTAGATGAATTAACTAATTCGAATTTTTTGTGTTCATTTGAACATAAAAGTTCATTATCATTAAGAAAATAAAAACGTGACCAAGGTTTATCACGTTTTAGAATAACATTTTTTTCAATAGTTAATTCAACTTTCATTCTTTTATCTGAAATATGAAGAAAAAAAATTTTTTTTTATAAGCTCTCCTTGAAGATAATCGTTTTTTTATAATGTACCAAAATAAGATCAAGATTCAAGAATAACTCAAGAACTGATTGAAAGTTTTGCATTTGTATATATATATATATCTTAGTATAAGCGTTACCTTCAGCTCACAACTTATATGAATTCGAGCATATCTATTTATCTATTTCATTAAGAAAGAAAAGATTTATTCAGAATCTAACATTGTTACTATGATTACTCACCATAAACTTTCCGATTATGTTGAAAAACCAGCAGCAATTGACAACGAAATGAATCAGATTCTTATATACTATTCCTGATGACAAATCGTTTACTCATGCAAAGAGTCATAAAGATTTATCTATGTCCATTGGTTCCATTCATACCATGAGTATTAATGTTGCCATAGTTCAAACAAGCAGTTGAATCATGGTAAACTCGTTCAATCAATAGATGTCGCAAAATTTCATTATTTCTTTTCTCTCCATTGGCAACTGAAATTGCAAGTTTTATAAATATTGTAAGAAATGTAAAGCACGTGATACTAAAAATCTCCTTACACATTGTTGGATAGAATTCCTTAAAGAACAATTGGGAAAAAAAATATTTTGTATCTTTAGTATGTATTCATGAGAGACAGCAATGAAATTATTTAAAGAAGGGTCTCTTTTTTCATTCATGAGAAATATATATTTTGATGTTGTACCGTATGCTAAATATCAACGAAAGTGGTCGTTATTTAATTATTAGTTTTAAAATTTCCACACGTATTCATTGAACAAGAGATTGTACGACATAAAATGGCAACTGAATTTGTCATCGGGAGATAATGATAGGAAAAAAGAAAAATTTAGACATTTGTGTCTTAACATAATATCTGCTAATATTTAAGCATAGATAAGTAAATAGATTGCCGTTACTTATAAATATAGATATCACTTGTTATTATATAAATGTTTTATATGAGTGTCGGCATCACACAAGAAGAGACTCAAACAGATGTTGTGTACATAGAGAATTGTATAATAAGCACATATGATGTAAAAAGAAATTATGTACTGTGTTTTTCTTTATTGGTATCGTTGAATTGAAAAATCAATAGATTACAGTTTTTGTGAAATCAATAAGCTAGTTACAAAAGATCATAAATAACATTTTTCATGTCGCTATTCTCCAAAGATAACTGAAGTTGCCAACTTGCTCCGCACACAGAGCAGCGCACCTGGATCAGTTTGGTATAATGTTGGCCTATCGACGAGGTCAATGTAATATTTCAATAGCGGTTTCATTAGTGACTCTTCTCGAACAATTACGAGCGGAAATGGGCTTAAGGAAAAAAAAAACTTTCTACAAATCATTATTTGCAGTGTTTTGCGATATTAAGTATTTCAAGCAGAAAAAAAACAAACTAAGCTACTTACGATTTTGAGAAAGTGTTGTATTATGCATGTTACTAGGAAAACAACGAAGTGCTATAGTGGCACTCTGCAATGTAAAAACAAGGTATTTTACTTATTTTTTGCGACATTATTGAAAAGTTGCTTATTTTCCACTTGTTGTACGTTTCTAATATTGTTTCGTATACATATTTTCTTCATTAGTTCTATTCGAATGTATTAATTTAGGAGTTTCAATCGCCCAACAGGAAAAGCGAGACTTCGAAATATTGAAGTCTGTTTTTCCCCCCTCGGCAAGTGGACACAAAAGATCCTCACTCATACCAATATCTACAGTCACAGGTCCGCAACAAATTTTTCGGTGGTCGTTCATTTCTGTGATACTTCCTTTCATATTTCTATTGAAAACTTTGATCATATATCTACAAACGTCTTTTTACAAACTATCTTTTTTCTCTTGATTTTGATAAAATAATTCTTATTGCACATAGAATGTATTATATACGATAAAAAAAGATACTAAAGCTAAATTATGTTTTTTTCCTCAATTCATTACACACGAATACGACCATTTGGTTTTGTTTTGTTTTTTGTTCATTCTAATAATAAGCAAACAAAAATGAGAAAAAAAAGCGTAAGAGTTTTGAGTAAAATAGTATACAGATTAAGCAAAAAGAACGAAACCAATTAACCACAAACAAAAAATGCACACACACATATATATAGATGGAGACTGTGTTTCAATGAACTAATATATGAGTCTATGATCATGATGGTGATGATACAGCTGATGTATGATAACTATAACTTGAGTGTGGTTGTTGATTAAATAGCCAACGAGTAAAATCATCATAGTCAAATGCATTATTTATTTCACGACCATTTCGATCTCGATATGGTTTCATCTTACGACAACAGAATTTAGCTTGTTCCGGTGGTAAATTCTAAAAATAAAACATTACAATTTTATAGTTATTGTTGAAAAAAAAATTCTTGATGATACATACGGCAAAGAGTTCATCACGTGTTATAAACGGTCGTTCAGAATTTTCTGTTAAACTCTTAAATGCCAAAACAACATCATCTATAGATGAAACATTCTCAGTTTCTCGACTAATCATAAATGTCATATAATCTGGTAAAGTCACTGTGCCAACTCTATAAAAAAAAGATTAAGAAATTCATCAATATGAAAATTAATTTTCAAGGTCTTTTTCATGAATGAAGTTAAGTTTTTCATACGCAGAATAAATATTAGATTTGATTGGAAGTTTTCTATGAAATACTGTCTTCAAATCCATACTGTGCCTTTTAAGTATAACATCGCTTCGATTATATTTTGGTTGGACAATTTGAAAAAATCAAATAGATTATGATTAAAATGTCTTTATTCACTTCTCCAAAGAGAAAATATCAAACATTTTAATTCTAAAATTACACTGTTCATCACTTGAGTTAAATACTTCTAGATGTTTCGTTCGGTCTGAAATTCAAGCTTACAAGTTTTTATAGTTTTGAACTTATACATTCCTACCTCGGGGCAATGCTATAGATGTGGAAGGTTACGCTACCCCACCATACAGTGTAGGATAAAGTAAGGGTTAGAAAATTTCTCTCATTCACAGCATAAGAGATGTGGAGAAAAGTTTACACTGTATATCTGTACCATGATACCATTATTTTACTATTTATCACTTTTAGAGTTATCCAACTAGGGCAGAATTAAGGTAAAGCAAGATAAAAACTTCGTATGGTAAGAATAAAGGTTCTTCAGGATAGGAAAGACCAGACACATGTAGGACCACGGGAAAGAGAAATTACTTTTTATGTGAATTATCTTATAAATGATCAAGCGGAACATAGTTCAAGAGAGATGATCGAAAAAAATGCTAGTTATCGACAAAACAAATAAAAATACGAGTCTTGAAGAATTTTGTTTGATGTGACACGAAGAAATTCGGCTTACCCGAATTTCGCCAATAAGACTTTCGCCAACTGGACATTCGCCAATGGCGAAAGTCCAGTGGTACATTGGCGAAAGTCCAGTGGACTCTCGCCAATTGGCGAAAGTCACCGGGGTATATTGGCGAAAGTCAAGTGGACTCTCGCCAATTGGCGAAAGTCACCAGAGTATATTGGCGAAAGTCAAGTGGACTCTCGCCAATTGGCGAAAGTCACCAGAGTATATTGGCGAAAGTACAGTGGACTCTCACCAATTGGCGAATGTCCTGGACGTGTATTGGCGAAAGTATAGTGGACTCTCACCAATTGAAAAAAGTTTGATGGACTTTTACCATTTGTCACAGAAGAATATAAATGTTGGATATGAGCGAGAAGGATGGGTATCAGTATATATATTGGTACTGTCTATTAATCTACATGTTACACTATTGAATGCACATCAGACTCTCGCCAATTGGCGAAAGTCACCAGAGCATATTGGCGAAAGTACAGTGGACTCTCGCCAATTGGCGAAAGTCACCAGGGTATATTGGCGAAAGTACACTGGACTTTCGCCATTGGCGAATGTCCTGTTGGCGAAAGTCTTATTGGCGAAATTCGGGAATCCCAGAAATTCTGGAATAGTATTTTCTAGACCAGAACCCATAAAACTAAAATTACCAGAGTCGGATCTTATCCAAGACCAAAAGATCTTGATTCCACACATCTGTAAACAATGTCTTATTCTTAAGTATGAATTTTATTTCTCAATACAAAATAAGAAAAAAGAAAAATAAATTAATCAAAGAACAAACCTGTTAGGATCAACAATATCGAGAATAGCTTCAAATTGTTCATCACGTTGATTATCATCAACAGTTGGTAAATCATATCCTAATGCTCGTAAACAAGATTTAAAATCTTGATGATTAAGTCGACCCAATTTCTCTTTATCAAAATGTTTAAACATCATAGAAAATTCTCGTACTTGATCTTCACTAACACCACTATGTTTCATAGCAGCTAATTGTTGTTCTAAATTATGTTGCATACGCATTCCTAATTGATCTAATTGATCATATGCTTGTGCAAGATTAAGTGCAGAATATTCTGTATAACGATTATCTAAGATTAATCGACGTTCAAGTTCAGTTGCAAGATCTTCAAGTTTTTTTAATTTTTGTCGTTGTTGTCGAAGTTCATCAACTTTTTGCTACAAAACAACATCATCAAGAAAAAAAAGAAAAAATCTCTTTTCTTTGTTCTTACTTTAATTGTTTGAAGTTGTTGTTCAAGATTACCATCAGCATTCATCATAGATGATCTATAAGAAGAAAACAAAAACAAAATAATAACAAATAATGATTTATTGAAAAACATACTCAATGCCACGTAACCATGTATGAAAAGCATTAGCATATTCAGCAAAATGTTGTCTTAGTTTATCATTTTCTTCTTGACGTTTCTTTTCTAATTGAAGATCATTATCACGATCCTAAATAAAAAGAAAATTTCTATTATGAAAATAAATTAAAATTTGTTTTTGTTTTTACTCGAATTAATTTTTCTAAACTTTTCCATGTATCAAAAAGTGTTTCCATTGTAAACCATGTATATGGATTTGCAGCCATATT